ATCATAAATGGATGTTGAATTTTGTCAAAGGCTTTTTCTGCATCTATTGAGATAATCATATGGTTTTTATCTTTCAATTTGTTAATGTGGTGTATTACATTGATTGATTTGCAGATATTAAAGAATCCTTGCATCCCTGGGATAAAGCCCACTTGGTCATGATGTATGATCTTTTTAATATGTTGTTGGATTCTGTTTGCTAGAATTGTTAAGGATTTTTGTATCTATGTTCATCAGTGATATTGGCCTATAGTTTTCTTTTTTTATGGCATCTTTGTCAGGTTTTGATATTAAGGTGAAAAACATTCTTATCTTAAAGATGAGAAAACTTGGGCAAGAAGTTAAGAAAGCCAAGTTCCGGTATCTAATAAGTGCTCAAGCTGAGATTTGAAAACCTCAACAGTCAGCATTTGCTGGGTGTCTAACAAGAACTTGGTGTAGGACCTGTATTTTAATAGGGAATTTGATTGGTCATGTGCCAGATAATGAGAGTAGGTATGCATTTTAAAATGAGATGTAACTCCTGAATTGGCAGAGTGCTCAGAGATTGGATTTTATATGGAGAAGTTTTAGGGGAGCTGGGAGAGACATGAGGTCCTGGTCTTACCACTTGAAAACTTCTGGTTTCTTTGGTTTTGAAATGAAAAAAAAAAAAAAGAAAAGTTTATTTCATAACATAGAAAGAAACTCAAAAGGGCTTAAAGACGTAACATGACAACATTAAACTCCTAGAAAAGAACATAGGCAAAACATTCTCTGACATAAATCATGGCAGTGTTTTCCTAGGGTAGTCTCCCAAGGCAATAGAAATAAAAGCAGAAATAAACAAATGGGACCTAATCAAACTTACAAGCTTTTGCATTGCAAAAGAAGCCATAAACAAAAAGACAGCCTACAGAACGGGAGAAAATATTTGCAAGCTATGTGACTGACAAGGGCTTAATTTCCAAAATATTCTAACAGCTCATAACAAAAAAACAAACAACTCAATTAAAAATGGGCAGAACACCCAAATAGACATTGCTTCAAAGAAGATATACAGATGGCCAGTAGGCACATGAAAAGATGTTCAACATCGCTAATAGAGAAATTCAAATCAAAGCTACAGTGAGATACCATCTCACATCAGTCAGAATGACCATCTTTAAAAAAAACTCTACAAATTAAAAATGCTGGAGAGAAACAAGGGAATTCTACACTGTTGGTGGGAATGTAAGTTGGTACAGCTGCTGTGAAGAACAGTGTTGGGGTTCCTTAAACTAAAAATAGCTATACATATGATCCAGCAGTCTCACTCCTGTGCATATATCCAGACGCAACTCCTACTTAAAAAGATACATTCACACCTATTTTCATAGCAGCACTATTACAATACCCCACACATGGTTCATGGACAGGTGAATGGATATAGGTGTTGTGTCATATATACACATGGAATATTACTCAGCCACAAAAGAAAAAAATGAAATAATGCTATTCGAGGCAACATGGATGGGCCTGGAGGTTATCATAACAAGTGAAGTAATAAGTCAGAAAGACAAATATGAGATCACTTATATGTGGTATTTAAAATATGACACAAATGAACTTTTCTGTGAAACAGAAACAGTCTCACAGAAAACTTATGGTTAGCAAAGGGGAAATGGGGTGGGACAGCTTGGAATTAGCAGACATAGACTATAGTATATAAAGAAGATAACCAACAAGGACCAACTGTATAACACAGGGAGCTATATCCAATATCCTGTAATAAACCATAATGATAAAGGATATGAGAAAGAAAAAATATTTTCTTATTGTGAAACTTGTAGTTTAACTAGGGAGCTTGATAAATATGGTCCAAGGTAGAAAGGGATTGATGTCATTGGACAGAAATTAAAGACACAGCGTTAGAATGAGGTAACCCCAGAGAGCATCTCATCCCTGCTTCTCAAGTGTGTCTGGGAACCTGTGGGTCTAGCTTTACCAGTGGAATCTGAGGTCCTACTGAAGAAGAGTCTACATGTATTCTGCAGGGGATTCAGATTCAGTTAAAACTTGAGAAGCACAGATGTGGTCTAACTCCATCATTTTACAGGTGAGGAAGCAGACCCTGAAGACCCAGGTAATTTGGCTGGTTTAGTGGGAGAGTGAGGACTTGTGCCCATGCCCCAAATTCTTCGTGGGCTTTGCCGACACTGTGCCATCCTAGTTAGAAGGTACTTTTGGATTTCAGAGAACTCTGTCTCTTCTGGAGGACTTCTTTCAAAGCCTAGAGAGGTATAGGAATGTGCTGATTCTTTCATTTCTCCCCTCTACCTAGAACCTGAGTGTCACTTGCTTCAGCTGTACTCAGAATACATTTCATGGAGAAATCATGTTGGTTGTAACTTTGTTTTCTTTCCAAAGATCTCTATCATTTCTGGATACTATCTAATATGCCTGTGTTCAGAACATGTTTTTTTCCTTCAGTCCAAGACTCCATGGTTGAAATTATTTTCAGCCCATAGCCATTTCCTGTCACCCCCCCCCACACACCTTTTTTAGGAATGAATTGAAATTTAGAGAAAAAGTTTGTTTACTGTTTGAAGAGTAAGAAGCCTCTGAAACAATTGGAAGAATAATCTTGTTTCTAAGAGTGTTACTTCTTCCTTACTAAAATAGAAACAGGAGACATGTAAACAGCATGCATTTGCTAGAAGTGCATATGTAAATAGCATGCATGCATTGCTAGAAGTGTACTGTTCCCTGCTTTTGTCTTCACCTGTTTTCCACTGAGCATGATTTGTAAGCATGCTCAGAGTATTTCTAATCTCAGTTACAAGAGTGATCCTTTGACATGGTTTTACGAGGCATCAGTGGCACATTTTTTGAAAAGCATTCAAGGCGAATCATTTTATACCTGACACAGATTTGATTTTTGCTGTTAAACACACTAAGGTAAAGTACAGAGAACATACAATTTTCCATCTCTGATTTTTTTTTTTTTAAATTAAAATGTTTTTGACCACACCATGTGGCTTATGGGATCTCAGTTCCCTGACCAGGGATTGAACCTGGGCCATGGCAGTGAAAGCACTGATTCCTAACCACTAGACCATCAGGGATCTCCCAAATTTGCCATCTATAATTTTTAAATGTACAGTTCAGTAGTGTTAAGAATATTCACACTTTTGTGCAGCAGATATCCAGAACTTTTTCATCTTGTAAAAATGAAACTCTACACCCATTGAATGAGAATGTCCCATCTTTCTTTCCCCTGGTTTCTGGCAACCACCATTCTACTTTCATGTTTTATGAATTTGACTACTTTAGATATGTCTTTGGGCTTCCCAGATATCTCAGTGGTAAAGAGTCAGCCTGCTGACACAGGAGATGAGGGTTCAATCCCTGGCCTGGAGGATCCCTGGAGAAGGGAATGGCAACCCACTTCAGTATTCTTGCCTGGAGAATCCCATGGACAGAGGAGTCTGGTGGGCTGCAGTCCATGGGGTCACAGAGAGTCACGACATGACTGAAAGACTGAGCACAGATACCTCATAAGTGGGGTCATATAGTATTTGTTTTTTTTTTAAGTGGCTCATTTTATATTTCATTAGTAGCTTAAAGTCCTTAAAGTTCATCCATGTTACAGCATGTGTCGGTTTTCTCTCTCTTCAGGCTAATTTTACACTGTACATATATACCATGTTTTGTTCATTTTTCTATTGATGCTTAGGTTACTTCCTCTTTTTGACTACTGTGAATAATGCTGTTATGAACATACGTGTATAGTGCTTTTTTCACTTTGAGTAGCTTTGTTAAATTATCTGTGAGTTTGTTAGTGAGGAAAACATTAGCATTAGTTGGAAGAGTTCCATTTCTTTTTCCTTGCCTGCTAACTATATAAGATATGTGACCACTGTGAGTCTAGGGAGCTCCTTTTGTAAGAGATGAAACACATTTCACAGAATTGTAATAATTCTTAAATGTAACACAGATGTAAGGAGACAAATGACTACTTAGTTAATCCATATGCGTTCAGTACTTCTGAGTTAGTTGTTCAGGTGAGTTGTACCTGAAAAAATATCCACCATAACATTAAATATTGGTATCATTAAATCCTTAACTGTATAGTGAATTTTTTATCTTTAAAATGTAAATAGTAACTTTAATGTTGAAAAGGAAGAATGAGTTAAAAAATAAGAAAGTATACATTTTGAGTAACAATCTGATTTTAACTCTTGGTTAATCTCCTTGAAGGAATTAGTGCCTGGTATTAACCTTGATAGTTTATTAGTAGAGTTGAAAGAAGTTACCAGTCCTTTCAGATACTACACATTAGATTTCCCCAGTTTCAGATAGAGTTGTAATGGTTTGGCATATGTTGCAACAAACAGCATTACTGTCTTAAAAGTTTTTTTTTTTTTTTTTTTTCAATTAAAGAACTCAGGAATGTTTGTCTTCTAGGCCCATCAACAGAGCAGACGAGCAGATCGCTTGTTAGCTGCAGGGAAATACGAAGAGGCTATTTCTTGTCACAAAAAGGCTGCAGGTGAGTATTCTTTTTAAGTAGTACTGAGTCTGAAACTGCTGGGCAGTTTCTTTTTTCCAATATCTCTCAACACAGTATTTAGAATGAAAATCACAAGAGTAATGATGTGTTATTGCCCTGCATATACACCACACTGACACTGCTGACCCCCTGGAACACAGCTTAGAATATTTTTCAAGTGAGTGTGTTAGATTTTCCAGCTCCTCTTAGCCTGGTCTTTCTAAATCATGGAAATTGGATATGCCGTATTGGTAAATGATTCCTGGACACAACTTTCTGAGCCGGAAGATCCCAGAGACAGAATTGATTGCCTTAAGTGTCTGTTGGTTCATCTTAGTTGTTATAGAGGAGTTTGGATTTCAAATATTTAGCCATTTTGGGTTCTGGAATTAATAACTAATTTAATTCCAGCCAGTTAATTTTCACTGAGTTTCTGTTTCCTAAGGTGCTGATAATGGAAAAGCCATTGAAACCCTTTCCTGTGGTCTTTCTTTAGCTTCCCTTCTGAAAGTTTCATCTATACATTCATGCCTATAGTATCATGCCGCTGATGACATTTAGAATTACTGGATTCCTTTCAAACACCTTATTTTATCCCAGTCATAAAAGTTAGTGGTGTATGTTGAACTCAGAAATAGCTCTGTAGGGTCTGTTTTGTACAGACTGGTTTCTGCTGGCTGAGTAACAAACCTAAAAGCTTAGGAGTGGGAGTGGTCCATCCAGAATCGGTGTGGCCACCATTCTTTGAGCAGGCCCTGTAGTCTTCCTGCTAGAGAAAGGCACTTCCTTTCCCTGAGGCCAGTACCGTAGTCAGCGTCCTGTTTTTTTCCTGGCAGAATCTTCTCCTATGTTGCCTTACTGCTGAAATATAGACTGCATAGTGGAGACTGGCTTAGAAAAGTCCTTCTGTGTCAGTGATTTTTGCCTTCAAGTCAGTAATTTTAAGAGAAAATTTCAAGTCTTACTATTGAAGAGTTAGTTTTGCCACTGAAGTGTACCCTTCAGCTGTAGGGCTGAGCACATTGTATGTATCCCATAAATCTTTGTGGTTTTTAATTTGTTATTAGCACTACTTGGCCATGCCTCACAGCATGGATTGTGTGTTGATTGGTAGAATATTCTTTTTTTTTTTCCCCAGAGAAGGAAGGATTTATTACTTGTAGCAAGAAAGGAGAACACTTGCTTTCCCAAAGCAGTGTCTGATTGGTAGGATATTCTGAGTATATAAAAGGTATAAAAGTTGTGTTTTTTTTTAAGATTTATTTATTAATTTTATTTTTGGCTGTGCTAGGTCTTTGTTGCAGTGCCCCAGCTTTTCGCGGTGGCGGCTTCTCCTGTCTCGGAGCACAGGGTCGAGGGCACACGGGCTACAGTAATTGCATGCACAGCCTGGGCTCAGTCCTTGTGGCTTGCAGGATTAGGTGCTCAGCAGCACGTGGGATCTTCCCTTCTTGCTTGGGAGGGAAGTCTCTTTCATCCTAGTCTATATTCCTGTCTTCATTGGAAGACTTAAAATTAATGTTGGGCTTTAAACACCTCTCCCCCTTTCTCTTTATCTAAATTCTGTGACTTTCTCAGGGGTAGAAAAGATAAAGGCAATCTGTTGGATTCCATTAGCTCTAACTTTGGAGGTGCAACTTTAAGTGTGATTACTTAATCCCACCCAGCCGATTTGATTTGGAGTTTAGACTTGTTTGAAAATAGCCTTGTGTTGTGTTTCAGAGTAGAGTTGTGAATGTAATGCTAGTTTGAGAGTTAATGTGGATGGAATGAACTCTGTTTTCTAAATTGCGTTTAACATCTAGGCTTGAACAGAGCTGTTTTGGGAGGTGTAGATGTAAATATATCCTGAGAGTAAGCAACTTAGTGTTTGGAAATCATGTTAGAGACACAACAGGGGAAGGTCGTCATCTGAGGAATGTTGGGAACAAAAGCCTGAAGTGAGAGAATTCACCAGCAGAAGAAGGGGCCTCAGCTGGAGAGCGGAGGAGACCCTGAGACTCCAGTGCTAAGGACTCATATCCTCTGTGCTTGGTAGTGTTCTGATAGTGCTTTGTGAATGTGTAGAAATACAGAGGTTACTTGATCAGCTGAGATACCAAACTCAGAAAGAAACAGCCATCTAAATCTGAAGGGGGTAGGGAGGAGGAGGAGGTGTACTTATTTTTACCACCCTATATTGAAAAAAAAGCTAAAGAAGCTATAAACTGCCGAGAATTCCCCACTGTTAGAGGACCCTTGCTTTAGATCCTTGACTGGCAGCTGTAACTGGGTTGCTGTAATTCTCCCTTGGCAGCCTTATGCAGTCCAGTCTCTAAGTGGATTTCTTTTCTTTTACAGACAGCAAAAAGGGCAAAAGCTTAAATTGGAAGTTAGTAACAGCCATTAACAATGTTTAGAACTCAAAGTGAACTTTTCGGAAGGTGAACAGACTTGAGGGTGTGTGTTTATATGTACTTGAAAATAGATCTTGACCTGAACCTTCTCTGAGACTGTGGTGTCACAGAAATGATTCGGAGCACATCTGTCTTTGTCGTTCAGAGTCAGTGCTCTGTGTGTGCAGAGTTAGTGCTGTGTGTGTGCAGAGTCAGTGCTGTGTGTGTGTGCAGAGTCAGTGCTGTGTGTGCAGAGTCAGTGCTGTGTGTGTGTGTGCAGAGTCAGTGCTGTGTGTGTGTGCAGAGTCAGTGCTGTGTGTGCAGAGTCAGTGCTGTGTGTGCAGAGTCAGTGCTGTGTGTGCAGAGTCAGTGCTGTGTGTGCAGTCAGTGTTGTCTGTGTGTGTGCAGAGTCAGTGCTCTGTGTGTGCAGAGTCAGTGCTGTGTGTGTGCAGAGTCAGTGCTGTGTGTGTGCAGAGTCAGTGGTGTGTGTGTGCAGAGTCAGTGCTGTGTGTGCAGTCAGTGTTGTCTGTGTGTGTGCAGAGTCAGTGCTCTGTGTGTGCAGAGTCAGTGCTGTGTGTGTGCAGAGTCAGTGCTGTGTGTGTGCAGAGTCAGTGGTGTGTGTGTGCAGAGTCAGTGCTGTGTGTGCAGTCAGTGTTGTCTGTGTGTGTGCAGAGTCAGTGCTCTGTGTGTGCAGAGTCAGTGCTGTGTGTGTGCAGAGTCAGTGCTGTGTGTGTGCAGAGTCAGTGGTGTGTGTGTGCAGAGTCAGTGCTGTGTGTGCAGTCAGTGTTGTCTGTGTGTGTGCAGAGTCAGTGCTCTGTGTGTGCAGAGTCAGTGCTGTGTGTGTGCAGAGTCAGTGCTGTGTGTGTGCAGAGTCAGTGCTCTGTGTGTGTGCAGAGTCAGTGCTGTGTGTGTGTGCAGTGCTGTGTGTGCAGAGTCAGTGGTGTGTGTGTGCAGAGTCAGTGCTGTGTGTGTGCAGAGTCAGTGCTGTGTGTGCAGAGTCAGTGCTGTTTGTGTGCAGAGTCTGCTGTGTGTGTGCAGATAGGCTGTACAATCTGCTGTGTGGATAGGCTGTGGCAGCCCAACAGATTCATGATAGACTAGTAGTAGATGTTATTAAAAAGTAATAGATTCTTCAGATATTCTTAATTCCTTTTCCTCATCATTTACTTAGTGTTTACTTTAAATATTAGCCTCATATCATGATTGAAGGAACGAGTTTAACCACATTGTTGGATTTTCTGAGACGAGTATTCTCTACTGACATTTCTGTCATGGTGGGCACTTGTTCCTGTTGTGGCTGTGAAGCAAATTCATGACCATGCAAACAGGTTAAAAACCACCACCACAATATTGTCATTATCCTCCAATTAAAATAAATTAATTTTTTTAATAATTTTTTTTCTTTTAAAGTAACTTTTAAAGGCTCAGATTTTAAAATGACACTGGGTAAATGTTTTAAATGACAGTGGACTTGAGTTCTCTGCTCTTTGGGAACTCAGTGTCCTTGGGTGTCTTCTGTCATGTTATAGTTTCAGGATTCTACAAAGGGAGGTATTCCATTTGGGTTAAGCATAGTTTTGTGAAACTTGCATTTGTTAAGAAACTGAATGTAAAGCAAGCCATAGTTCATACAGGGAGACAGATGTATGCAGAGGGAATGGGAGGGATGGCTAGGGAAATTTATCCACACTATCACAGTAAGAAATAGAATGTCTCAACAGAATTAAACATGAAGAAAAGGAAAAGAACTGGTCTGTGTGCAGTTATACAGACTTAATATAGGAGTAAAAGAAAGTTGAGGAAAAAAAATTTAATATGGGTGGAGCAAAGGCTGTGTAACCAGCTGTTTTCTGGTGGAGAGGGAGCACCCAGTTAGTCTGTCTTAGAGACTGTGGTAGAACCTGGCAGACAACAGTTCCAAGTCATGAACTTAGAAAATCATTAAAATATTTGGATTAAGAGTAGACAGAAAGCAGTGCCTGTAGTGTCAGCAAAAAGGCAAGAAGGAGCTTAATGTGTGAGAGATGCCAAAAAGTTTATAGTGAGGAAGAGATAAAAAATGAGGATTAATTGGACACAACCTGTTACTAATACTACTTGTTATTTTTACTGTTGCTAATAACACTTGTTATTTACACCCCATCTTGTTCCAGACAAGCTATAAAAGGGCTTACAGAGGAATACAACAAAATATAAAATCCATAGAAAGATAAAATGGGAAAGGGCTGGGAGTATAGTTCACAAATGCATCACGAGTTCTTGAAGGGAAGCATGGCTCCGTGCTTTCCAGCAGTTAGCTCATTTTCATAAATTTCATAATACTGCCTGCAACTGCTTATTATNCAAATGCATCACGAGTTCTTGAAGGGAAGCATGGCTCCGTGCTTTCCAGCAGTTAGCTCATTTTCATAAATTTCATAATACTGCCTGCAGCTGCTTATTATAAATGTCAGTGAGTTCTTCGGACTTTTAACTACCAAATTCATAGTAGGCTGATGATATAACTTAGAAACAATTCAATAAAATGGTTTTGTAGGAGGCCAAAATGGTAAGTCTAGGTATTCATGTGGGTAAAATTGATAGTAATTGATAGTAATTGATAGTCAATATCTTGATATTTCTGTGAACATAATAGGATTTTGATAAGTTTTTGTATAATTTTAATCTTCCCTAATTCTGTTTTTCTGATTATGTCATGTTTACTTCCTTAATTGTGAAATCTACAGTGATTTAAAAAAACCAGCTCCTCCAGGTGAAGTGTGGGATATCTCCATTTGATTACCACTGATCCTCTTTTTGGGGAAGTTAAGAATCCTTTTTTAAAAAATCCTTTTCAGGAATAGGATAACTGTGTAGCCAAATTGCTTCTAAGACCAGTTCTCTTTGTCATAGGAAGAGTATTAAAGTAAGAGTATCTCTTAATCTTTTAATAACAAAATGATGACATATATTAATGTGCCCCCTTTTTTTTTTAAATCAGCATATCTTTCTGAAGCCATGAAGCTAACACAGTCTGAGCAGGTAAGACACTTTTAATATTTCCAACAAGGGTTAGAAAGGTTTTCTTGTGGAGACTTGAATCGTGTATAAAATAAAGGTCTTGAAGGGAAATGAGTTCTTGAAGGGAAAAATGGCTTCTCCCAAAACACTGCAGTCAAAAATACATAAAATGGGGAAGAGATTAGTTTTTCAAAAAGGAAATTAAAACTAAATAAATTGACATACACATACTACTATATATAAAATAGATAGTCAGCAAAGACCTACTTCACAGCACAGGGACCTCTACCTAGCACTCTATAATGACCTGTATGGGAAAAGAATCTAGAAGAGTAGATATATGTGTATCTGTAACTGATTCACTTTACACCTGAGACTAATACAGCTTTGTAAATCAACTATACTCCAATATAAAATAAAGATTAAAACTGAACTGCTGCTGATGGCATGCAGAAACAGCTTGTCCTTTTTTTCCTAGGGTTTTCTCATAGACCTTAGGTTGCCCTGTGTGTCCTTTAGAGACCCCTCTTAATGCCTTTTCTGATATTTAGCTCACAGTAAGCAAACCAGCCTGGCCAAGGGGAAACCAGTTGGCCTTTCCTTTGCTTGTCAAAGATAGTTTAAATCCAAACCTGTCTTTTCCTGAACTCCTAAGAGGTTTTGGCACTTTTATTTCATCAGTGGCTTTACATTGTCTTCTGTGTTTGGGGAGGGCCTGCGTAGGGTTTTAAAATGCCTTTATACAAAGCTAAATCTTCAACCAAAGGTGATTTTCTGATAATAAAAGTGGCAGATATATAGGAGTTATTTGGTAAATCTTTAATTGACTTGAGAAGATCTGAGGGGATCTCAGTGACAGGGAGAAAATACCAATTCTGTAGAAGTTGTGTTCCATTCTGTGTACTTCCTTTTGACTGTCCAGAACTGCTTGTGTTAATCATGTAATATAGGCATGCATTGAACCCTTGTTGATAGAAAGACTTTAGCTAGTTGTAGAATAGAAGTCCAAACAGGAAATTTTCTGATTTTAAGCTGAGTACAAATAGCATTGCAGAGGGCTAAGGCACATTCAAAAAAGGTACAATTCAGTGTGTTGATTTGGAATTGGAATAGGACTTACTCTGACTTCTTGAACAGTGTTTTGTTTATGAATAAAGATGGTAATTTACCTAGAAAGACTATTTATTATTTTGGAAAATGTTTGGCGTTCTATGGAATTGCAAACATAGTATAAATTTAAAAGATTCAAGTGATACTGACTTATTCAGAAAGGAAGATACTAGAATAGCATTTACTGGCTATTACTAAAGAGACTTTAAAGAAAAGTTAAATTGTACCTTTCTTTCTGTGTAACAGGCTCACTTATCACTGGAACTGCAAAGGGACAGCCACATGAAACAGCTGCTCCTCATCCAGGAGAGATGGAAGAGGGCAAAGCGGGAGGAGAGGCTGAAAGCCCAGCAGAGCGCAGACAAGGACGCGGCTGCCCAGCTTCCGGCATCTCACAGACCCTCCGCTGAGGATGCGGACAGCCAGAGCCCCCTGCTCTCTCAGAAGTACAGCCCTTCCACAGAGAAACACTTGCCTGAAATTCAGGGGGTCTTTGACAGGGACCCAGACACACTACTGTTTTTACTTCAGCAGAAGCGGGAGCCAACAGAGCCGTGCATTGGAAGCAAAGCCCCGAAAGATGATAAAACAGTCATAGAGGAGCAGGCCACCAAAATTGCAGATTTGAAGAGGCACGTGGAATTCCTTGTGGCTGAGAATGAAAGATTACGGAGAGAGAATAAACAGCTAAAGGCTGAAAAGGCCAGACTTCTAAAAGGCCCAGTAGAAAAGGAGCTTGATGTAGATGCTGATTTTGTAGAAAAGTCAGAGTTATGGAGCTTGCCACCACATTCAGAAACTGCAACAGCCTCTTCAACCTGGCAGAAGTTTGCCTCAAACACTGGGAAAGCCAAGGATATTCCAATACCCAATCTTCCTCCCTTGGATTTCCCATCTCCAGAACTTCCCCTCATGGAGTTCTCTGAGGATATTCTGAAAGGATTTATGAATAATTAAAATGGAAGGCCATAGAAGAGGTAAAGAGAGGAAATAATATGGTAATCCAGCAAAAATAAAAAAGGGAAAACCACGTGCAAGGGTAGTCCCGGAGATGCTGCACCTGGCATACTGCAGAGAGGAGGCATTGACAGGACTTGGCAACAGTCACTGTGAAACATGTCGCGTGTCTGATTTACCGACTCAAGTTAATGATTCCAGACTTGGCAGATACTAAACTGTTGGAGGTTCACTTTCTCCTGATACAAACCAAATGGCTACCTGGAATAATTTTTTTCAAGCAACAATTATTTTTCTTATCTTCAGGGTTAAAATGTATAAAAGTATGTTATGTGTAATTAATCTATAATGCCATAAATGATAATGCAAAACTTAAATAATATGGTTGCCTGAGGGGCTGCCTTGTATTTGAAACATGCTTTCTATCATGCATTGACTGTATGCATCTTGTTATGCACATTTCCTTTGTCTAATAAGGTGTGTAAGGCACACCTTTCTAGAAGAAACTGTGCCACACTTTGCACTACTCGTAACATAATGATAACCTCAAGACTATCAGGAGAAATATTTAAATTTCCATTTATGAAGAAAGGAACCAAATTATTAGTTATGCTTTTTTTTAAATTACCAGTTTACATAATTAATCAGGGTGCATTTTAAGTTCTAACTTCTTTTGTTAATTGTGTAATGCATCATTTGAAAATATCAAGGAAATATCCTTTTGTTTTTAATGATGCACGAGTGGAAGTAATGCTAGTCGGCAGTATTTGATTGTAATAAATCAATAAAGTAATTGTATTTTATACCTTTGTTAAAAGCAAGTTTTGTTCAGCTTCTGTGTTGGAAATTTTGAACATGAATTTGAAGACATTCTGTCAAACAATTACTTCGATACATTAGAGATTTTCTTCATGTTTTGTAGTCAGCTACCTCTACAGCTACGGTGGAAGAGAACAAGGAAGTCGCTGAGGCCTCTGTGTACCCAGCCTTCGTGGGCTGGCACATAGGGACAGTGTTCAGGCTGGAGGCAGCCATGCCCCAGTTCAGAGCAGGGGTAGCGAAGCACTGCTTGGATCCTCTCTTCTCTTCAGAGTCCAGTGATGTTCCAGGAGTGGGAAGAAGAGGAAGGTGTAAGTGAAACATGAGGGTATAAGCCACTGGGTGTGTTTAAAGCATACACTTGGTTTATCTTGGGAGAGAGGCAAAAATATGGATGAAAAGCCTCTCCTGAGGGGATGGGGACCACTGGGCTGAGGGGATAGGGTTGGGCTCACATGTCTAGTGATGCAACCAGCAGAAGGACGATGAGATGAAGGGACCATGCAGAAGTTCCTTTTTTCCCGTGTCTCATCTTGGTGCAGATGAAACCAAAAATAAACTTAGCTTCTTAAAATAGGATAAGAGTTCTATTCTCTGTTGATTGTCCATCTCAGTGTTGTAGTATCCTAGACTCAGAGTACTTTGCTTGCCTAACCTTCCTCATAAAAGTTGAGATTTAAAAGATTGTGCCAATAATGACACTGTTATTAGCCTGTCTATTTCACTTTTAAAATGAGATGTTCTGACATGAACACTTCGTAAGACACCCTCCCTTTCTTCCCCTACCATCTCCCTCCCCTCCCCCCGCCCCATTACTTTCAGCAGTTTGACATATTCCACAGGACCCTGTTCTGTGCATTTCCACTAACATACATGTTAAATGGGCTAACTTTACTTTTCCATTGTCTTTGAAGCATTTATTCACACTTTTTAGTACTCGTGTTTCATCTTGTTTTTAGGTTTTGTATTTGAGTCTATCAGTACAGTGTATTGGGCCAAAAGGTTTATTCGGTGTTTTCCATAAGCTGGTTCTGGTAGCACTTCCTTGTCTTTGACATCACTCAGAACAGTTTTGTTAGATTGTATCGTGACAACTGTACATCAGTGTGCATTTAAAAAAATTTATCAAAATTGGTGAATTTTTGTGTAGCAATTGAGAATGGAAGAAAATATTTTTGACATATTATCCTTTATTATTTCAAGAGAGGTAAAAATGCAACTGAAATGCAAAAAAAGATTTGTGCAGTGTATGGAGGTGTTCTGACTGATGGAATGTGTCAAGAGGTTTGTGAAATTAGCGATTCTCATCGAACAATGTTCCAGTCGGGTAGACCAGTTGAAGTTGATAGCGATCAAATTGACACATTGAGAATAATCACCATTATACCATATAGGAGAGAGCCAACATATTTCAAAATATCCAACTCAACCATGAAAATCAGTTGCACCAGTTTGATTATGTTATTCCCTTTGATGTTTCAGTTCTACATAAGTTAAGCAAAAAAAACCTTGACTGTACTTCTGCACATGATTCTCTACTTAAATGTAACGAAAACATTCATTTTTAGAACAGAAATGGGCAATGTGACAGGTGATGAAAAGTGGATGCTGTACCATGAGGTAGGACAGAAGAGATCATGGGGCAAGCGAAATGAACCACCACCAACCACACTTAATTCAGGCCAGTCTTCATCTAAAGAAGGTGGTGATGTAGATATGGTGGGATTGGAAGGGAGTCCTCTATTATGAGCTCTGGAAAACCAAACAATTCCAACAAGCATACTGCTCCCAGTGAGACCAAGGGAAAGTAGCACTCAACAAATAGTGTCTGGAATTAGTCAACAGACAGTACATCATCTGCCATCAGGATAGTGCAAGATCACATTTCTTTGATGATCAGGCAAAACTTGACTGGGAAGTTCTGATTTATCCACTGTACTCCCCAGACATTGCACCTTCGGATTTTCATGTATTTGTGTCTTTACAGAATTCTCTTAATGGAAAGAAATGTCAATTCCTTGGAAGACTGTTAAGGTACCTGGAATTTACTTTGCTTAAAAGGATAAAGTTTTGGGAAGATGGGATTATGAAGTTGCCTGAAAATTGGCAGAACATAGTGGAACAAAATGGTGATTAACATTGTTCAATAAAGTTCTTGGTGAAAACAAAAAATGTGTCTTTTATTTTTACTAAAAAACCAAAGGAATTTTTTGGCCAACCCAGTATGTGCCTTTTGACCAGATGACTTGGTACGTTTGCAGCAACCTAACAGTGTCTCCATGGAGTGAGTGAAAGTTGCTTAGTGGTGTCCGACTCTTGGCTACCCCATGGACTATACATAGTCCATGGAATTCTCCAGGCCAGAATACTGGAGTGGGTAGCCTTTCCATTCTCCAGGGTATCTTCATGACTCAGGAATCAAACCAGGGTCTCCTGCATTGCAGGCAGATTCTTTACCAACTGAGCTATCAGAGTGGATGCTTAAAACACTGTACCACAGGCATGTGGCCAATCTCCTAGCCGGGGTTTGTAGATGCTCTCTTCTGTGTAGCTTAAGGCCCTGAAAGGGATTTAAGGAAAACTTTCTTCCACTAAATGAAACTAAATTATGCACGTACTGGAAGTGGAGTAGACTCTTGTCCTTCCTTACTCGGTGGTGGCCTCTTGCTTTTGAACCCAGACAACTATCTGGGCATTAGAAGGCAGTCCTATGTTCTTACTCTCAGCTTTTCACAGAATGTCAACAAAAACATTTCTTTCAGAAAGTTAGTATGTAGTAACAGTCTTAGTATAATGTCATGGTAACCACAGGTAAGTCCATACTGAATTTAGAAACCATGCTAATGAGGAACTAAGATACTTTCAAAATTATTCTTGAAGCCATTGTCTATCCCTAGTGTTTTAACACAAGGTTATTGAAATAATGAAAATATTTTATCTCTAGATAGTTCAAAACATTAAAACACTATCTTTCTGCTTTTAACACTGTATAGGTACTTTTTAAAGAATTGTAGTTTTTTTTTTTCATTTATTTTTATTAGTTGGAGGCTAATTACTTTACAATATTGTAGTGGTTTTTGCTGTACATTGACATGAATCAGCCATGGATTTACATGTCTTCCCCATCCTGAACCCCCCTCCCACTACCCTCCCCATTTTACAGTATTAGTTTCAGGTGTACATATAGTGATGTTATTTTTATAAATTTTAGTCCATTTAAAATATCAGCTGTATTCCCTGTTCAGTATATTCTTGCAGCTTATTTATTTTATTCATAGTATTTTGTACCTCTTAACCCCTTATCCTAGTCTTGGCCTTCCCCACTTATGTGTCCCCAGTGGTAACCCAGTAATTTGTTTTATCTGTGTCTGTTTTTGTTATATTTAATCATCTTTTAAGGTGATAACATATAGGATTTGTCTTTCTGATATATTTCACTAAGCATAGTACCTTACTGGTCCATCCGTATTAATACAAATGGCAGAATTTTTATTCTTTCTTATGGCCAAGTAATATTACATTTTACAGCCACACTGACAGGTGTGAGGTCATATCTCATTGTTGTTTTGACTTGCATTTCTCTGACTAGCAATGTTGAGCATCTTTTCATGTGTCTGTTGGCCATCTGTCTTCTTTGGAAAAATGTCTTTAAATTTACTATCTACATTTAATTAATGAGCTGTTTATATAGTTCAGATACTAACCTATATTAGTCATAACACAAGTATTTTCTCCTATTCAGTAGGTTGTCTTTTTGTGTCAGTGGTTTCCCTTTGTTGGGTGAGAAATTTTAAATTTGATCTCACTTAAGAGCTTGTCTTTTCTCCATTGTGTATTCTCCTTTATTGTAGATTAGTTGGCCGTATATGTATGAGGTGGTTTCGGGGCTATTTTGTTGCATTGATCTTTGTTTTTGTGCAGTATTCTACTATTTCAATTACTGTAGTTTTGTAGTGTAGTTCAGAAGTCAGGGAGCATGATACCTTTGGCTTTGTTCTTTATTCTTGATTGCTTTGTATGGAACCTTTTTTTTTTTTTTTTAAATGTGATCTTAAAATTTTTAGGATCTTTAAGACCTATTTTCTAAAAGAAATTGAGGCCCTGAAGGTAGGGGTTTTGTAAACTCGTCTACCAGCTTGACAGCAGAGCAGAGCCGAGAGGCCTGGACCAGCAGCCCTGTGCCGCTTTCCCGGGGCCACGCTCAGGTTGTCTTCAGCTTCTTACCATGGCCCAGCGGCCTGGTCACTCACGTTTCTCTCAGGTGCGTACTCTCCCACTCACCCCAGCTACTTTTCCCCCAAGAAGTTGGAGACCACCCGTTGAAAGCTGAGCTTGTCCTTAAAATCGCTTGTAGAAATCGTCGTGTCCATTTTCTGTGGTTTTTATCTTTAAGGAGCTGTGATTGAAGTTTTGTTGTTTTAAAAGATGAACACACACCAGAGTGACGCAGTCTGCCACAGGGTGTATTTGCAACCTCTTTGAAAAGACGTGACCTGTGATAATAGTAACGGCTATTATTATTTACCGAATCATTCTAGACAGTGATCTTTGTCGTATTTTGTCATAATCCTAGTGTCGCCTAATTGAAGATCTCTGCCAGAATGAGTGGCAAGACTGTCTCAGGATTTGTCTAGTTTGTCCCAGCTGGAAGCCTGTCCTAAGTCACCGCTGACCAACGGTGCCACCTAGTGGATGGTGAGAAACCCTTGGAGTTTGTGGTGGGTTGCAGATGAACAGGAAATCATTAGTTGGTGTCTGTCAAGAGTGGTTTTGTATTTATGAATAAGCAAAAGAAGTTACAGGGGTGCAATATGAATACAGGTACCAGATATTTAATGAATACCACCGTCCACTAGTACTATAAAATTATTTATATTGCCTTCATCAAAGTAGTGATGTGGTCAGAAGATGGGGAAATGGCTTCCTAGGTAAAGAACAAAGGCATGCAGTAAGAAATGAGGAGAAACTGAGTAATCCTGGTCAGAATGAGGTCATGGCAAGA